TAATTAAATCTGTTACATCTATCGGAAAAAAGAATTCGTCACATTTGGGTAACGGTTCTATTTTAAATCGTTTTCGCCGATTTATAGCCTGCAAAAAACGTCATTTTTTAACCAAAGATTAACCCTAAGGCCTCAGGGTTTCTATGTATAACTTTGAAGAGAGGAATATAAATTAACTCGTGCCTAAGTGTTAAGCTAAATTTTAGGCAAACTCTTCTAAGTTAAAACAAATTAAATGATTTTAAACCTTACACAACTGTAGACCTCATGCATTCAGTAAAAATTTTTTGATTATACAGGGATTCCTGTTCATTAAAACAATGTATCACTATAAATGAACAATTTTGTCATGATAGAACCCTTTTTTTTAAATATAAGTCAGTAGTCAAAATAATTATTTATGTTGATATTAAATATATACTTTACAATTTTAATATTTCTTATCTGGAACTTTTCTTCTAATAGATATTTTCTATACTTTATATATTTTACAGCTAGTGTTGGTAAACGTCAATATTTTACCCATAAAAATATTAAGCAAGACTTAAAATTTTGCTCATATATTGCACAAAGGTTTGGACATCTATTAACAAAATTTCGAAGCTTAGGTAATATTTTTCTGGCTAAAATATTGATCAAGTCCTTTTTTGAAATCTTCTTAAATCGAGCCGTATACTATTTAGTCAATTCTAGTTTTGTCAATTAATTATAAATTAAAAATAACTCAATATATAGTCTATAAATGTATCTATATATCGATACAATTTTACTATAAGATGTGTATAATGCATAATTTATGATTTCCAGCTAAAATTCAAATTTTGAAGTTATCTAAAAAATTATTGAGCTGATATCACATCTATATACAATTAATAATTAAAATAATGATTGTTAGATTTTAATAATTTAGATTATAGAGTATATAATTAAATGATTATAAATAATTGTTAGTTAATAATAAAACATTCTCAAAATTTTTATTAAGGCACTTTTGTTTAAAAATATTTTTAGCCACACAAAAATCTTTCTACCGGGGAACTGGACGGCATGGTTAGATCTAATGAATAACAACTTTATATTGGTATAATCATTAAATAAAATTCCCAACACTTTTTTAAAAAAAAATTATTTAAAAGTGGATAGTGTTAAAACTTATATAAATATTTGTATCATGTAAGGGTGCCCAAAAAATTTATTATTTAATTGTTTGATTTCCTTTTGGATGTTGTCTAGAAGAAATATTAATCTAAAAATTATGATGTATATTCCTAAAATTAGTATAAAAATTATAATATTAATTTACCATGTTGTCGTCAACAATTGACTAAAATGAAATTCGTATTGTTTTTGTAATGAAATAAACTCGTACATATTGTTAAATAATTTAATTCAAATATTATTACTTTTAATATAAAAAAAGTAAAATAAAATTATATTAAAATGTATCTAAAAGTATCTAAAATACAGATACCTCTAAAATAGTATCTAGTATATAAATCTTACTTTTTATAAAATTGTATCTAAATATAGATACCCATATCAGTTTAAAAATTTTATGAATAATAATAGTTTATTGCAAAAATCTAAGACTGAGCCAAAAAACAGTCTTGTAGTTTGATCCAGACCGAAAAATTAAACCAGCTCCTAGCTAAATATTTGTTTTTTTATATAGAAAGAATAAATTTAAGATGATAATATTCTCGATTTTCAGGAAGTTGGATAACTAGTTTGCTCATGACTACCGTTTAGAATTTTATTTGATACCTTTTTAATTATAAGTTGTATTGGTTAAAGAATATTTTTGTCAGTAATTGCTTATGTCACTTAGTATTTATATCACTATACTGATTATGAATTTTAAATAATATTTTGCTAAACCTGTAATTATATATTATTTAATTTATGTTTTTATAAAATATTTATCGATTTTTAATGGTAAATCACAGAAACAATCAATTTCTCAAATAGAATTTTAAATATTTTCCCCTTTTAAATAGATTAAAAATAAGAGAGAATGAAGAGACCATTGCCATTTTTTTTAAAAAATAATAAATTAAATAAATTTTCCAATTCTATTCTTTTGAATTAGCTTCATCATTTTTGAGTGCTATAGGCAACACCTCCGATATTTTTAAAAATTGTTACTAAAAAACATATTATTTAGACCTGTCATTTTTATTAGATTTTGATTTTATATTGAACTATGTTTCTGCAAAGTTTGGTATATTTTTGTTGAATTATTTTCAAAAGATTTTTTTAAGGCAAAAAGCCAATTTATTTATCTCTCATAGTTGAAAAAATTGGACACATGCTTATAAAAATATAAAAATATTATTAATTAAATAAAAATTAGATTGATTTTCCAAGCCCGATCCCAGCCCAAAATTTTTTAAAAAAATTTGTCCAGTCAGGCCCGTCATGAACAAATTTTTTTTTACTTGTTCCTAAAACCCGATCCAACCCGACCCGAAATAGAAATTATTTTTCCACCCGGTCCAAATTTATTTAAATTTTTTTAAATAATTTTACATTTTTACATTGAACATAATCGAGTTTTTTATCATTCTATATTAATAAATATCTAATATATCAAGGCTTAATATAGAAATTTTAGTGAAATATGACAGTTCTAAGTGAAAGCTATGCCTTATCCAACGAATCACGCTAATTTTTCCCATCTAGGTTAAAAAGAAATCTTAGATAACTAATAATATATATTTAAAAATTGTTCTTAAAAGCTTAAGTGCGGAAAGCCAATATTATAAAGGAGATTGTAAATTATTAAATTTCTGGGACCAAAGGAGTTTCCAACACGTGATTTATTGGATAGATATTGCAATAATTAATATTTTTTTAATAAAATTTAAAAAAAATGATATAATAAAAAAAAAAAACTTTTTTCGGCTTATAATAAGGAAAACATCATTATTATTATATTATATTATAATAACCAAAATAAATGTATTTATTCCCATTTTAATTAAATATTCATTATTATGGACATGTTCAATTCTCAAAGTATAACTGTCAAAATTTTTTCAATTGGATTGATATCACTTGAAATGAAAAATAAAGTTTTTCTTGAAAATAAAAATTAAATTTAGAAAACTTGTAGAAAAAAAAACATAATAATATCTCATTTATCATTTATATCCTATCGAATAAGTATTTTTGTTTTAAAACCAAAAAAAATGTATGTGCAATAGAAGGATTATTGAATTAAATCAATAAACGAGTTTTTTTCCTTCCAAAATCCTATTTTTTATGATTATTATTTATTGATCGACGAAAATCGTTCGATGGCCACATTCGTGATAATAATTATACGTGTATAAATTACATTGTATCTATTAACTGAACCATATTATATTGATTGCATTATAAATGCATTTTAAAGGCATAATATTTAAAATGACAATAATCAATTAGATAATAACTATCAGAAGTCTATAAATGACAAAATTATCCGGCTAGACCCGGTGAGAATTTAGTTTTTACCTTACCCGACCTAATCCGGCCACGGTTTCAATTTTTTACTATGGTTGCCTGGCCACGGTTTTTTTATTTAAATACAACCTATACCAAAATATATGTTGTTGAAATTTATAATCTTGAGGAGTGGTTAAATTAGAAAAACTATATCCTTTATGGATTATTCAAATATCAGAATTCATCAAATATATTTACAAAAAAAAATAGCCCGGCTCGGTCCAGAAATTTTTTAGCCCGGCCTGGTCCATTAAAAAAAACCAGACGTTTCCCATGGGCCGGGACCGGAAAATGTCCGGGCATTATACATCTCTAATAACTAGAAATCAACGGGCAGATAAAAAAATTAAAACATAGGTAGAGCGGGTTAATAATATTTTTATGCAGGATAATGAAATAATTTACAAGTGAGATAGCAGGATATGGCAATGTTTAAAAAAAATAATTTTTAATTAATAATTGCATAATTTATAAGTTGAAATAAAAAATATTTTACAATAAATAAAGAGCCAAAACCAACCAAAATATTTCTAATGCATTAGGCTAACGTGATAAACAAAATTTTTAAATAAATGTGCGGATGGATTAAAAAAAAATTTTAACACTATGGGTGGGCAAGTTTTCTCTAAACGACATAACTTTGACTAGAGTATTTTAGGGATAAGACAAGAATGCCTTTGTCTGTCCAATGATTTTTCTAAAAATATATTTAATTTTAAAAAATGCCATATATTTAAAAATCGTGTTTTAAATTTTATTCGCTCCGTAGAAAAGATTTAGACATGCTACATTTTTGTCCCGTTTTATTAATTGGGGATAGTTAGCTCTGTCAATCAATATTAGAATTGAGAATTCGACTTGAACGTCTATATCCCCTAAATAAAACTCAGTATTATATTTTTTTACATATACCAATAACTTAGGACAATAAGTTAGGACTTAGGATATATATTCCACGATATGTTTAAATGCAAACACTAAAAATTAGGCAATATATATAGTGTGAAATTTTTAAAAAGAAAATGAATGGCTAAATTGGAGTGATGGTTAATTTTACTGAATTTTTACATTAATGAATATGAGTATTTTAAATTGTTTGAAAGTGGAGAGGGTCCGAGATATAATGAGAACGGGGTTATATTGAACCTTGACCTTTTTTTATAAAGTATTAAATTTTTTAATCAAAAAAATAAATTATATAATACATTGTGAAGCTATAATATATATGTATATATATAAGACAACATATAAATTTGAGATATTTATATATATTTAAAATCATAGTTTACTTTTAATTTTATTGATTTACTTTTAAAGCTTGCTTATAACCACGATCTCATTATACTTAAAACTTTCTTTATATCTTATAATATTATCAAAGTTCTGATAGATATCTATATTTATTCTCACTATTTCTTTAAATGAAAGCTGTTATTCAATTTAAGGTTTCTTTTTTTATTATTTGATTAAGCAAACGTACAATTGCTTTAATTTAATTGGGGGAGGGTTACCTAGAACAAGCGAATAAAGCATTTTTCCTGATCACTCGAATTAGATTGTGCGATAAAATAAGGGTTTTAAGGAAAGGTGTATGAATGAAGGCCTCCGAGGGAATAGTTGTAAGCGAATTATGAGATAAATCCAAAGATTTTAAGAATCGTAACCCGTAAAATGCTTCGGTGCCTATAAAGTGGATAGAACAATGAGACAGCACCAAATTTTGAATACTCGTCGATCCTCTCTCAAAAAATACCTTGTCTTGCAATATTCGAATGCCAGGATTACCATTAAGGCGCAATATTTTTGTCGATAAATCTAAACTTTCCGGGATGCCAAGCATATTTTTGGTTTCGCAGTTAACTGTATATGCGTTGTTCAGCGTGAAACAGTGGCATGCCGCCGGGCACGATAGCTTGTGTCTCTTGCGTTTGGATGTAATAATGGCAGTGTTTCCATCTACATCGATATTTGAGTTCAAATTGATCTCTTTATTAATAGTAAAAGAGGGACTATGAGGATCTTCGATAATATTTTGTTTCCAAATTTTGGAAAAATTTTGATTATCATAGGAATCAGTTCCCGTGAAGTCATAATAATCATTGGCTTTAACAGTGGCAGCATCCGTGAGCGAAATTTTGATGCTGCAACACCAAATGTGTAACATAAAAATTACTGAATAACGCAGTAAATACAGTAGTAACTTTGCATGAAAGATAGAAATATCATTGCGTTGTATTATTGTTTTTATAGCAGAATTGGATCGGATAAACCCCGTAGAATAGCACCTAAAAGGCAGAATTTTTGGCGTCCTATAGAAAGTATTTATCAATAAAAGCTTATTAGATTCCCGCATTTTATAACGATCTGATATTGCGTATTTTTAGGAATAATATATTTCATAATAAAAATAGTTTATATAAAATAATAAATTTTCAATTAATAAATTTTTGTGTTTCGTTTTTCGTTTTATTTTTGTTTAAAAGAATAACTTATTTATAAAATCATCATTGATTATGTTATCATTTATTTAAAAAAAATTTGTGACTAATTTTATTTTCAAAATTTAAGTTACTGTTTCACGCTGTTTTTTTAAAAAAATAATTATTATATTTTTATTAAACTGTTTGAATTTTATTTATTAAATGCACATCTAAAATTTAAATTTAATTGTTAATTAAATCAATTATTAATTTCATAAATAATGTTTTTTTTAGCAATTATATGAGTTATTATGGGATTTAAAAAATTTCATCAATTAATAATTTTAATTTGAACAAAATTCTACATTGCATTTTTATTTCATAATTTGTAAACTTTATTTATAACTTATTGAGATTTTATAAAATATGTATAGAATTTAAAAACTTTTTTATTACAATATTAGATATTACATTTTAATTTTTATTGGATTATATTATATATTTTATACAATATCTAATAGGTTATTAAATTTATATAATATATCTTTAATGATAGATCTATTAACTCTAGTAAAAAAAATTGAAACATTATTATTTATTTTTTAGAATAATATAATAATATTATTTTTTTTACATAGTACATAATAATGGAATCAAATGTGCTTAGCTCTGGCTTAGGTAACAGAATTTATAAATTATATATTTTTTTATCATGGAAAGTAAAACGTGAAAAACATATTCCTTTTTATTTTGAACCGTTAAAATTAAATTAATGATTGGTTATTATGTATAAATTATTTATGAATTTGCAAAATAAAAAAGGAATCAACTTACATAATAGTAAAATATAATAATTTAACAACAAATTTAATTTGTAATTTTGGTAGTTTTAAAACTCAATATATGAATATTTTTTAATAAAATTAACAATAAATACGACATAATTATGATCTTTAGGTCAACTTTGGGAAATTCTGGTTTAAAATTTTATCATGAGATAAGAAGGAACAAAAATTTAAAGCATAATTAAAATTTTTAATAAAATATATAAAATCTGATTTATAAATAAAAATAATTAATATCATATTTTGTTTAACGAATGCGTTATCAATTAAATATTTTAAATTTATAAGTTACAAATAAAATCTTTAGGATAAATATATCACTAAACTTTGTTTTAAAAATGTTTCGATTTAGTGAAAATAAATGTGTAAGTGAGAATCCAGCCCTTATAATTTCACCTTACTAAATAGTAAATACTTCATGAGCTTTTGACTATACAATATTAGTTATAATAGAAAATTTAACGATTAATCCTGGCTTTCGCTCAGATATTTGAATAAAAACACTCTAAAAATGTTAATATTGACTTTGCCAACTTCGGGTTTCTGTCATTATTTGATCATCTGAGCATTTATAACAAACTCTATTGGGTAAGTTGGGGGGGGGGGTTCCACCAAGAGATCATTTCGGAATATTAAAATCCATGGGTTTAATGTAAGATATAAATATAATAGTGCAATGATTAATATTATAATAGGAGATAAAAGAATAGAGAAGGAAAATTCAAGTTTTAGAGAAAATTTCTGAACAATTCTATAGGAGCGCTGTTACAAGATAATAATGAAGATACAACGCATTTTAATTGCTTAATTGATTTTTTTTTACTCAAATACTATAATTATTCTTTCCATGGAAAAATTGGGTGTAGGGGGATAGGAATCGAAATCACGAGTATTCATAATAAAATAACATATAATATTTTATAGAGGGTTAATATATTGTTATAATTGTTTTTTGATGGCTTTTTGATAAAGTTTGGAAACTGGAACCTTCTGAATCGCGCACAAATTTAAAACCTGAACACAAAATGTGTAAGAGTAGGACCCAGAAATAGTTTTTTTAAAAAATATTAGATCCAAAAATCCCTATTAATCCAGTTTCTAAACTCCTATTATAACCCTATGTTTATATATTATTCTAAATTTATTAATATTAAAACTATTATGCTCTTTTTACTTATAAAGGTTATGTTTTTTCAATTTAAAATAATGCATTTAATATTTAAATGGTAAAACGTGCAAATTGATTTTTTTGAAAAAACATTGCGTTAAAGAAAACGCTAAAATAGTTTGTGTTTTTTACTTTTTTTAAAGACATAATGTTAAACGCTTCTTCTCACTTTGTAAGTAGTAATGCAAAATCACTCCATTTGAACCGATTTTTTAAAACGGTTAACTGAATATTTCCGCCAGAAAAATAAAGATAGAGATTTTACTAACAGATGCCCAAATTGTTGTGCCATCTATGAACAAAATCTTCAGGCCTGCATTATATCTTTTAGGCTAAATGCTGAGTTACTCCGATTTTAAAAAGCGGCTCAAGTGGATTCATTTTGCATTACTATTTGTAAGCACCCTTATACTAGATTCGAAACGGCAATAATAATATAATTACATCAATGTGTACATTTGTTTATTAGATAATAATATTATCCTATCCTATTAATATAATATAAAATAGAAAATTATTTTATTATTTTTTTAAAATATTATTAGTATTATTACCTATAGAAGATAAAATTTTTATTGATTTTATTTTTTAGAAATTAAAATACTCTAATAGAACTAGCGATATGAAAAGGATATTATTTTTTTTAAACGAAATGAAGAAAAAACTTAAAAAGTGTAGCTTTTATTAAAGTTAAACATTTTATTTATACTTTCTGACAATCAAAAGATTATATATAATAATAAATATCCTATTAATAATAAAATGCCTTTTTTTAAAAAAAAGAAAGAAGTTTAATTAAAATAAAATTACTTTTTTTTATGAAATAAGATTTAGATCCAAATTTTAGCAAAATATAATAAAATAAAATATACATTAGTTGTGTAATATAAAAAAAATATATTCTTTTTGGATCAAATATGCGATGTATAAAATAAATATAGATTTCATTTTGATTGATTATTTTTCCATTTCAATTACTTAGGCTAATTTATTCTTAGGCTTTATACTAAAATATACTATAAAAAATGGTTAAAATGGGTTTAAATTAATCACTTTAAATTTTTTAAATATAAAGCAAATTGAAAAATATAGTATATTATATTATTAGAGGTCTGCAACGAATGATTGAGATTCATCTTTATTATCAAAAAATGAATATTTAAATTTTTAGCTTAGGCCAAGCGAATTCATTTCAGGGGCATCATTAGCTCTTTTATTATATGGATAGGAAAGAATCAAGAAATAAAATTAGGGTTTGCTAAGATAGAAAATATTTTAGGCATGCTCAAGTTAAATATTGGCCTGATTAGCCCACATATGATTTCCTTATTGTCACTAATTTTCTAAGTAAATATTTACCATAAACCCCTATCCTCATAAGAAAAATAATTTGCAGGAAACGATCCGATATTTACCCCTTATTCCAAATTTTCTTTATCCCCCATGATAAATTGCTCCTATCTAAATTCCCCACCTGCATATATAGCACCAACTACCATAATATAGGATATTTAGTGTATCAACAATTAATTTTATTTCATTCATTTTGAAATATAGTATATACACTTATAACTTATAATTATATTAAAATTTGCCAAAACTTTGGTTAAGGAAGAAGTATAGAATCACGTTGAAGAAGTCCTTCCCCAAAAATTCTGTCCCCAATGATCATATTTTTATCAGAGAGATTGCAGAACCGGCCCACAGTCCAGTTCGAATTTGGCACAAGTAAAAAAGATATTATTTTAATCCACCCAAGTTTGATAATTTAAAAAATTAAAATCCGAGCAGGGTTTGGTATTTTTTAAAATCTTGGTCGAACCTAAAATTTCAACCTCTAGAGGGTCTATTTATTTATATAATTTCAATATTTTAAATTAAAAAAAAAATATTAAAAGGGTACTAGTTGGAATCACTATAAATTTTTCAATCTTGATCTTAGATATATTTGACCTGGATATTTGTGGCAAAAAAAATACAACCTTTGGAGATATTCAAATGTTTTAAAGTTGGATTAATACATAAGGTTTGGACACCTATTAGCGAAATCTTAGGTAATAGTATTTTGAATAAATTTCTATTTAGTTATTAAATCTCGACTAAATTGAACCGAACACTATACAGACCTAGAGCGGTTAAGAATGGTGGCCTTTGAAGGTTTAACTGAATGACCAAATTATTAATCAAATATAATTTAAATAAATATATAAGTTTAAAAATAGTGTAAAAATATTTAGATAATTAAATCTCTCAGGTAGTTTGTTAAATAACTTAATCCGATTTTTAAAAACGACTAACTCAATATTTTATTATTCAGAAAAAATATTAACAGGCCTGAAGATTTGGTAATACAAAGGTTTTGGCATCTATTAGCAATATAGGCAATATTTTTCTTGCTAAAATGTTGAGTTAGCCGTTTTTAAAAATTGGTTCAAATCGAGCCGTTTAACCAAATTACTCTCGAAAATGTAATGTATCTGTATGGGAATTTTTTTTAACAGTAAATCGAAGTCCCATCCCATGAATAGGCTATATCATGATTTATCTGAAATTAATTGAGCCCCATAATAATTATCACTGAGATTTTTTTATTTAGTTAAATAAAAATACAAGTATAAAATGAAGTTTAATTTTGATAAAAAATATTATTTTTATATTAACGCATTAAATTATAAGATTTGAATATATAATTTCCCTTCTACAAATTAAGAATAAATAAAACAGTGGAGAA